GTGAACATTAGACTTCTTTTGGACTGGGGTGGGGGATGGAGGTGTTCAGATTATATTAATGATAAGCTTCGCCGGGATTAAAATTCAGTTATATTGCTTTCAAATGTTTTGAAGGAACTTGAAGACTTAATGGGTAAGACGGAAGGTGAAAATATTTTAAAAAATCGTGGCTCACTGGTATTGCAAAAATGCACTGAAGACCAAGCCAAATCCGTTGAGGATATATCTATTCGATTATACTGTTGACCTATAGTGCAATACTGATCATGTTACCCAATTCCCAACTTTCAGGTCAGCATTGCCGTGAACCAAACCAAGAGATGCATGGCTTACAAAAGGCTTGATCAGCTTTCTGCAAGTTTTTTTCCAACTATATACTTTTTAACCTTACTATTATCATGAAACTTCTAATTTCAGATAGCAGTTGAACTATCATATTAAATATTCATTTCCTATCATGGTCAAATTGCCAATTCCCTTCCACTGAATCACTATGAATCACTATGAAATAGTGATGATACCAGCTGTTCGCGAAAGGCGAGCGTATCCTGGCACCCATCACAAACACGTGCAAATGCAAGTCAACTGTTCACCTGTCACCGATGCAACATGTTTAGAAATGTCCTCCATAAATAAAGAGCATGCTTGATTGAACCTCAAAAGTTGTGAAATGTAGACACCAAAGGCTTGAACTGCTGAAATATTGCTCCACATAAAGGGAAAGCTTACAATTGGAAAAAATGAAGTCATCCCTCCTGTCATGCAGTCCTAGAGAGAGTTTCTTGTCACTCTGAATCTTTATGTATAGACATAAATTTGAACCATATGAGACGCTATCACTGGTTACATGTAACATCACTATAGATGAAAAACTTGTAAATCGGATGTCCAGATGAAAATAGGAATTATGTTTTCAGAATCGATATGATAATCTGTCCATTGTTAAATGGCATAATGTTGTCCAATGTTTAACATTAAATGGTCATTCTCTGACATTGAACAGGGAGGACACTGGATTCCTAAGCTTCATTATATTCTATTTGAGGAGAGATAGATTGCAGGGTCCAGCAAATGTACCACCAAATCCTTGTCAAAGCTATACTCACACACAATGAACTCGAAATCTACAAATCTACAAATCTACAAATCTACAGACACTTCGAATGAGATTCGAACCCGTAATTTGTTTGAACGTCATTGTAGTGTGTTATTATTTCATGCCTAATCCCCAGAACAACTTAATTTGATTTTTGTGATATAGGCCATCTACAGTTACTTCAAATGTGATTCGAACCCGTAGTTTGTTTGTACGTCATTGTAAAGTTTTATTATTTGATGCCTAAATCCCCAGAACAACTTAATTTGATTTTTGTGGCCATTTTGCAAAATATATTTTTTTTAAATCGAATACACTCTTCAAAAAATGAACGCACAGGTAGTATATACTTCCTTAAAAAAAAATGCGGTATATAGATTGGATATATGTTATTTGAAAATGGTGGTGGCCCGATATTCGACAAACGGTGCGTCAAAACGCAGCCATTGTCGATTTGCAATGTCTTAAACGGCATTGTTTTCACACTTGTTCAAAAATGTCATGGAGAAAAACAGTAAAGCAAAATGCACGTGCAAGTTATGGCATTCGTGGTAGTGGCTATAAAAAGGCAAGCATAAGCCAATAATTTGTCATTCAATTGTCAACATTTTTTCAAGTTTGAAAATGCCGAGACTCAGCGCTGCCGATCGGATCATCGCCATAGGACGTATCCAAAGAAGGGAATCGCAGTCTTCTGTTGCACGCCACTTCAACGTCCACCACAGCACCATTTGCCGCCTTTGTGACCGATACATACATATCAATTCCACTGCAGACCGTCTAGAACCGGCCGACCAAGAGTTACATTCGACTGTTCCACATACTTCATCGCAATGCCACATCTACGGAGACTTCAGGACGCAACCCTGGTTTAAGGATGACATCGTACCAGACTGTCAGTGACCATCTTCGCGAGATTGGAATCTGACCCAGAAGACCAGTTAATTTCTGTTTTGCCACAGATCTATCGACAGCGACGCTTGCGATGGTGCCATACCTTACAGCCTTGGAATTTGAGAAACTGGAGACGAGTTGGGTTCAGCGATGAATCACGATTTCTTCTTCACCGGCGAGATGGGAGACAATGTGTTTATCGTCGTCGAAATGAGCCTTTTGCTCCACATGGCCATATCCTACACCACGAGATTTGACTTGATTGTGGTTCAGGGATATTTGACAGCAAATCGCTACATGAATCAAATTCTTCAACCTCACCTTCTTCCAATCATTGAATTCCAGAGGGAGCTGTTTCAAAAGGACAATGCTCCACCACACACAGCTCGTGTCACGGTAGACTACCTTCATAATGCCAACATCAACGCCTTCGAGATCTTCAGATCTCAACCCGATCGAACACCCCTGGGATGAACTCGATCGACGTGTACGTCAACGTCAGAACACGCCGCAGACACTTCCGAAGGACAGAATTCGTGCACTTATCCAGTGCCGAGTAGATGCAGAGCCGTGATTGCTGCCCCGGGCGGTCACACGAGATACTGAGTTCAGCGCCACCTCGTGGCCTTATGTGACATGACAATGAACACTTGTCAATGCCTTTGTACAACGACAACATGTGACTATGTAGCTCCAAAATGTCATATTTGTATCTATGATATTAAATTAAATATATCAACTTTATTACGTACAATAAATTTACTAAAAATGGTCTTATTTACCCTTTTTTGAAGAGTGTATATGTTGTCAATGAGTTTCAGTATACTCACCTTAATTCTGAAAAATATCAAGCTGCCATGGAATATATGAGACAAGCGGAGTGGAAATGTGGACATATTTAAAAGATATATACTTGAAATCGTAGGCCAGTCCATAACTCAATTTTGCGGATAGAACATTTGGTAGCAGGTCTTCGCATAGGTACTAATTGTGCCCTTCTGCTTGTTGAACATGTTTTTTAAGTGTTTCTCTTTAAATGTATATAAGCTCTGCACTTGTACTTCAAAATTAAGAAATCGTGTTTAGTTTTTAAAAAAAACTGTAAATGCGCTAGATTGTCACTGGATTGTCTGGTCAAGACTCGATTGTTTACAGGCAACAGGCAACAGATAAACACTTACTTTTGTATGCAAATTGTGTGTGTGGCGGGAACTACCGATTAAACAGGACATGCTTACGCTTTTAATGGACACTCGGTGGCATCACAGATTTTCAGTGATCAATTCATATAATTTTAACTTTAATTTGCCTTTTATACCCAATGGAACATGTTTCGGCAGATAATCGAGAATGATATTTCACTAGCATTGACATATTATATTTCAACAGATATGTATCTCCTTAACATCTATCTGCCAGAGTAAGAATTCTATTTTGTATGGAGGTTAGAATTTTTCAGCCTAATCTGCAAAACCAGATATTGCTATTAATTTAAAATGTTAGCCTAAATATCTAATGGCCGGCCCCTTAATTACTTCAGAAATAGGCTGGGAATTTATATTCCCAAGATCAAACTACCTTACTGGTGACAATATCTTCATTTAATACATGACACCAAACCTCAATACCGTTTTAAACCAGCTGGGGATTTCTTAGTGGATAAACACCCGACTTGGTAGGGATTGAACCTGTCTAGTAATGATATGTATGTATTGTGGTTTTCTTTTCTCCGTCTGCTATTTTAGTGATAGTTTGTGTGTACCTGGCATGAGGTGTGATGAAAGGGACACAACTCCTGTGTTACTACCTCGGGGAGTTTCCTACCACCGTGCACCGTTTTAGTGACTTATTTGCTCGACATACACAAGAGGGGTGTTAGCACTGGCAAAGTAGGTAAGGGTGCCAGGTAGATTCAGGTTTCTACTTGTAAACGAAGAAGCAGATCGTTCCAGGTTAAAACACAGCTATTACGACAATCAGAAGCAAGCGAAAAGTGCCAGGACGACACAAGCTTAAGTTATCACAAGAAGAACAACGAAAAGACTGCTAGGTACATACAAATTATCACTAGAAGAACAACGAAAAGTCTGCTAGGTACATACAAATTATCACAAGAAGAACAACGAAAAGTCTGCTAGGTACATACAAATTATCACTAGAAGAACAACGAAAAGTCTGCTAGGTACATACAAATTATCACTAAAAAGGCAGACTGAGAAAAGAAAGCCAGATAGATACATATCATTACTAGACAGGTTCTAATGTTTCTATAAGTACATCGGGGAAGACGTTATCTAGTATATCCTTGAGGTTGATGAATCACATCTATTCGTCTGTCATCCCCAACTCGTGTTGAGGTGAAAGGGATTGAGCGTCTGCCCGGAATCCGGAAGGTTGGTGGTTCGATCTCCTGGCTGCGTCATACCAAAAGACGTACATGATACTTGTTGTTACCCTGCCTGGAGCTGGGCATCAAGAGAAAGACGGACTCGGAGTCAGATTAATGTGTCTGAGTGGAGTATTTATGTTATAATGCGGCGTGGCATCTTACTTGGCACAATAAAACTAGCGTAAGTTCGGACCAGTACAAGCAGTTCAACACACGTGCATGCTGTGCAATGCTTGAACGCGACATTAAACCTTATCTCACCTCATGTTATCAGTCTGTCATATTTCATTGTCATTATGCGTGGTGTCAATTGATGTTGTTTCATTTTATTAGCGGATTTGGTCCTGGTTTTAGTTTAACAAATATCATGGTATGATGCTGTAGGTGAAAACAAATGTCTTGTATCAATTCATCAAACCAAAATGGCATTCACACATTGAGCCAATGTGACGACCCGTGACGAAATAATGCTTTAACCACAAGGCTACCACACCACCCTCGCGTACCAGGATAAATTGAGACTAAATTTGATCTTACTCATAACGTCCAGTATTGTGTTTGAGTCACGTGAGTGCAAGCCACTGATTGGCTGCAACGTCTACTTCCTGATCCGTGCGTTGATACAGATACTGATCACCGTGGCCAGGTAGCATTGAGGGGAGGGAATCTCAATATCTCCATGATTCGTTGGACGAATTTACCTGTGATGTTGAATATAGAATATTCCACAGTAGACTACATATAAGTAAAGACCGCTGGAATGTGATACAAAGACGTTCTCAACGAACGACAGGCCAAGATCCAGCTTATATGGGGTAAGTACTTGCTCAAGCATGATCATCTACACAAACTAACGTCAGATTAGTTACACTTCATACCAGTGTATCATATTATTGAGAAGATCGTCGAACCGGTAAATTAGGTTTGAGCAACTAACAAAATATGCGATGACACTTTTCATTCCCTGACTGATAATGCAAACTGACATCGCAGCTCAGGTTGGTGTCAGAGACGGCTCAATGTCAAATTGGTTCTACTTCCTACCAATACATCATATTATAGAGAACTGGTAAATTAAGTTTGTTTGTTTGGTTGATTTGTTGTTTAACGCCGCACTCAACAATATTCCAGCTATATGACGGCGGTCTGTAAATAATCGAGTCTGGACCAGACAATCCTGTGATTGACAACATGAGCATCGATCCACGCAATTGGGATACGATGACATGCATCAACCAAGTCAGCGAGTCTTATCACCTGATCCCGTTAGTCGCCTCTTTCGACAAGCATAGTCACCTTTTACGGCAAGAAAGGGTTGCTGAAGACCTATTCACGGGTCAAATTAAGTTTGAACAACTGACAAAATATGAGATGACGCTAATCATTTCCTGACCGAAAATGCAGACTGACATCGGCGGCTCAGGATGGTGTCAGAGACTTGTTCAACTCAACCTTCGGACAACATTTGCTCTGCTTAAGTTTTATTCTATTTTATATATTCTTCTTATTATTATTTACTGACCGTCTGGATTCCAAATGCGATTAAATCATATCTGGTAAAATACACTTCCACTGATGCATGTCATCTTATCCAAATTGCGTAGATCGATGCTCAGGATCTGAATCACTGGATTGTCTGGTCCAGACTTGATTATGTTCAGACTGCCGTCACATGGAATATTGCTGAATGCGACGTTTAACACCAATCAGGCAGCACTGGTTGTATACTACCAAGGGAACTGAGAATGATTGTTGAGTGGACACTGATCCATTGTCCAGGGTAATAAATGTCTTAGCACTTAGGGCATGCTTAAGCATGGGTACAGCGCCATATAAATTGACTAGTAGTAGTAGTAGTAGTAGTAGTAGTAGTAGTAGTAACGGACAAAAATAAAAAAATGCATCAAAGAGGGTTTGGGTGATCCTGGCACAGTGGGGCTCGTTAGGCTCATCATCAGCTCAGGGCTCTTACTTGCCCCCTCTACACGCAGCCCAGACAGCGAATGGGACTTCTCCCAGGAAGCACTGCCTAGTCAAACCCACCCAGAACTTTTCGGAGAATGTGAAGACTCCCTAACACTGCAGCCTTCTGTATTACCAAGATTATCTGAATGGCTGTATTCCTGGTAGCAAACCCGGTAACTGTTACTGTTTGTTCCTGAGTATCATTTACATAACATAGAACACCTAATCATTTTTCGATTCAAATAGGTCAATATAGTGTCGATGGTTATCAGGATTTCGAGGTTTTAATGGGCGAGAATGGACGTTAAGTGTAGATTCAATGTTCAGGTATTTCAACAGTTTATTTTAACGATTTAATCCAAGTATATATGCTTATGTTTACATATATGATTGCAGAAGTACCAAAACTTTACATGTATGTATAATAACACGTTACTGGTAACTAATATGACTTCACAATAGTCTTCTTGTGCAAACGGAGCCTATTATGGCAGAAACGTACTCTTTGTTATACCAGACACCCAATATATTTCCATGTACCTGACAAATTACAATCACAGGCATTCAGTAACGAAATGAACAAAGGCCTTGGCTTGAAGAAATACTCAATAATTTATATCATTATATTTCCTCGAAAATGTTGTACAAGTGATTGGTATGTTTCTAACGAATATCTTCTTTCTAGGTAAACTCTGGAAATGACATTACAAAAGTTTCTAAGATCATACAATGAAAATTCATTGTGTTTCGATCTAAAAAAAACAAGGAAGTTTAAATGAAACAAAATAGATGAGAAACACATTTGTCCCTGATTCCAATATGAATTTCAAATATACCATTTAGAAATTCGAGATATATTTGTTTCTCTTCCTTGAAGTGTTCCGAATGCATCAACGCCTCTATTAACTTAACTTCGAACAATGTTCCAAATTATTGACTATTTATCTGCTTGTTGGGTGTTTGCTTGTTTTTGTTAATTTATTATCATTACAAAATTGAGACTACACCAGTCTAAATGTCCTGGTGCTGCCGACTGCGTTTGCTTAAAACCCCAGAACAGTTAGCATCAATCTTATTAATATGTATTTCAGCTTGAAAAACCTACACAAGTTCAGTACCAGCTACTGTATCTATTACATATCACGGACATGTATCTTTAAGGCTCGTAGTTTCCAATATTTAAAGTTATTTTATGAAAATAATAATGTTAGATATTTTGCATATATGTGAATTTATGCCTGTATCTACAAGTATATCATTTAAAAAAATCAAAATGTAATAAATCATATTAATATTTTTTCATTTTTAAGTTAATAATATGTGAATATTTTGAAATATGATCTTTATCCCTGGTTAGTTTGACAATTAAGGAAATAAATTCTGTTTGGTTGTCGAGGACAAGAAACAAGGAAGCAGTTGCACTTCGATGGCGATGATAATGACATATTTAGATATGGCAGATATAACAAAATACATATGAATATATAGAGGATATTTAATGTGATTTCTCAAATACCACTTTTATCTCATCGAGTTAAGTGGGGAGAGTCTAATATTTTCACGAGTGACGCATTTTCACGAGAGATGAGATAAAAGTGGTATTTGAGAAAACACATTGAATTTTCTATTTATTTTATACATGTTTTATTTTTATTACTTGCAATTTATATATTTTTTCGAAAACAGTGTCTGATAAATTACTAAGTTCTCCCTGTCGCCCCTTTACCACCGCCGTATAAACGGGGTTTGCGAAAAGAATAAAGTTCGTAAATAAAACTAGCCCTGTTAATATATGTTATGCGAAATATATTATTTCATAACGAGTATTAAGTTCCGTTGACATTTTTGTTTGTCATAATTAAACATTCCTGTTTAAAATGAAAACAAAAATCATTTTCAAACAGCGATTATTTTATTGGCGTAGGAATATATAAACAGTTAGAACTGTGACCATGTCGAACGATCAGCTGAGCGCTCTCCAGGCTTACAAAATCCGCCAAATTTGATCAAATTTTCTCACAGAAAAGTATGAAAGTTGACATAAACACATTTATAGAACCCCGAACATTTTAACTGAAACATTCGGAAAATTCAAGCGGGCGCTTGTCGCCTCGGCGGTACGTCTCGCTGTCGCCAGTTGTGCCTAATGTCTGGCGAAGCATGTCCGGCGCACGAGTGATATTAACACTGCCATATATGTTATTTCCAGACATCAGACTCGTCAAAAAGTTCCTGTGGTCAGTTGAAGAGAATATATGCACCTGCGGTTGAGACTGAGTACAGTCGGCATCTGACGTAAACAAAGGGGGATAACACTTTAATGTTTTGATTCAGGAGAAAGTAGTTCCGGCACCTTGTTTATATCAGTAACTAGTGACTGATATAACTTTTTTATATCTGTCACTAGTGACTGATAACTTGATCTATCGTCACTGATAAATTTGAGTATTTCATTCATATGTATATAATAATTAAACCACTTAACGCCAGAAAATAATCAGTATCGAGTATCTGCCAAGCGATCATTTCACGAACAGACGTAGAAGACAGAGTAGCTGTGAAAATTATATGAATTGATCATTGAAAATCAGTGATGACACCAGGGCTTCGCGAAAAGGGTAAGCATGTCAACAGGTATCACCCGCCACTCAAACAATTTGCATATAAAGTAGGTGTTTATTTGTGGTTACCTGACGTCGCCCAGCAGTACTCCTGCCATACCCAGCATGTGCTAATACAATCCAGGACACAAGGGAATAGGTGAAATAGAAACTATACGCCCAGCAGTACTCCTGCCATACCCAGCATGTGTTAATACAATCCAGGATACAAGGGAATAGGTGAAATAGAAACTATGCGCCCAGCAGTACTCCTGCCATACCCAGCATGTGTTAATACAATCCAGGATACAAGGGAATAGGTGAAATAGAAACTATGCGCCCAGCAGTACTCCTGCCATACCCAGCATATGTTAATACAATCCAGGATACAAGGGAATAGGTGAAATAGAAACTATGCGCCCAGCAGTACTCCTGCCATACCCAGCATGTGTTAATACAATCCAGGATACAAGGGAATAGGTGAAATAGAAACTATGCGCCCAGCAGTACTCCTGCCATACCCAGCATATGTTAATACAATCCAGGATACAAGGGAATAGGTGAAATAGAAACCATGCGCCCAGCAGTACTCCTGCCATACCCAGCATGTGTTAATACAATCCAGGATACAAGGGAATAGATGAAATAGAAACTATGCGCCCAGCAGTACTCCTGCCATACCCAGCATGTGTTAATACAATCCAGGATACAAGGGAATCGGTGAAATAGATACTAGGAAAAAGGTTTCATTTTGTGTGGACGTCATATCTTTTGCTTCCACGGAGTTACCATGGTCGTTATATATATTGTTCCCAGGATGAATTAATGTAATTGCTCCAGTGTAAAGTACCTGCTTATATCATTGACATTCACAAATAATATTTGTTCATCTCTTTGTGCTGTTCAGGGGCGGTCGGGTAGCCTAGTGGTTACAGCTTCCGCTCGTCACGCCAAAGACCCGGGTTCGATTCCCGACATGGGTACAAAATGTGAAGCCCATTTCTGGTGTCCCCCGCCGTGATATTGCTGGAATATTGCTAAAAGCGGCGTAAAATCAAACTCACTCACTCACTCTTCGAAGATGGTATCACAGAGGAGTAGAATGTACACGGCAGAAAATTTCGTTTCACATTTCATATTCATATTGTTTTGTTGATTCTTATAACGGCAAGTATTTGAAGATGGACCCCGGGTTGTTATTCCGTTTATCAAGAATCCTAATGTAAAACGGTATTCTGATGCGTGTGTGCGTGTGTGTGTGTGTGTGTGTGTGTGTGTGTGTGCCATACGGACATTACAAATCAAACAAAATTTATAGAGTTAAAACGTTGAGTCTTCAGGTATTCTTACAGTTTTCGAAGGTTCAGTTTCTAACTCTGCGAATGTCAGACTGACTGATACTAATGAAACAATAAATCTATGAACAATACCGTGTGGTTGGTAATTTGCAATTTAAAAATATAACTATTCAATCGTGATCTCTCTGTGCACGCAACGGCTCTGTGCACCTTATGTATGGTTGAAACGATTTTAATACCCGAAATAGACTTACATAAAACTTACAAAAGCAATATCACCTTACTAGACCACATGAAAAACCGTCCTAAAATATGTATTCCACACGCTTTTATTAACAAAATGTTAACCGACAATCATGAAGTAAACAAGCAAATTATATTTGACGGAAGGTCCGGAATCATACAAAAAGACATCTATAATAGAGACTTGTTGTTACCCTGCCTGGCGTTCGACAGTAAGGGGACAAAACAAGGAATGTTGGGTTTAGAATCAGTAAAATGTGTCGGAGTGGGTTATCTATGTTAAACTGCGTCATGGTATCTTAGTGGGCCAGCACTATAAAACTGGTATTTCTCCAGACTAGAACAAGCTGCCACATGCCCATCGTTAAGTGCAATAATCTTTCACTCGACCCCATTTCACTCAACATGTATGAAAATGATATCGTGACCACCATACGTGTTCGGTACCCTTTTCTAACATTATTTCATTTAATCTTTTCCAGATGTAACGGCAAATGAATAGTCCAGGATGGGCTGCCTAAATAGATGCTTCGAGGCTGTGTCTGGCTTCTTCCAGAGGATTTTCAGAAAGATCGGTGTTTTCATTGGCACCTACCCAGTTGTACTGGTAGTTGCCTCACTTTCAGTAACCCTTTGTCTCAGCTGTGGTATGATAACATTGTCCAACGAGACTGACACAGAGACACTGTACACGCCCATTAACAGCAGAGCATCGCAAGACAGAGTTCAGTACCAGGCCACGTTCCCAGACGCAACAGGGAGCAACTACCGAGGGCATGCACTGTCAGATCTCGGCATGTATGGCCGACTTGTAGTGAGCAGCTCGACAGATGTAAATGTACTGTCCAATGCACCCTTGCAAGAAATAAGGAATCATATAAGCACAATAAAAGATATCAGTATTACATATGATGGGGTGGTGATCAAGTATGATGATATCTGTGCTCGACAAAACGGGAGTTGTTTTGTTTCAGGAGAGTTCCTCACAACAGATGCTGTATATAATGCTTATCTGGCTGGTGGAATCACCTACCCAAACTGGAATAACATAGACTTATCAGCAATTTTGGGACAGGTTGATTCGACAGGTGGAATAGTGCTATCAGCAAAGTACCTGAGTGTCACGTTTAATTTACGAATGGACTCAACGGTTAACAAAGCAAAAGCAAGAGCGTGGGAAGAAGCGTTCCTGAAGAGAGCAGCAAGTTTAAACACAACATCTACAAGGATAAACTATGCTGCCTCCCATTCATTAGACACAGAGTTGAACAAAAACACAAACGGAGACATCTTGTTCTTCTCCATAACCTTCACGTTGATGATCACGTATGCCACTGTCGTCGCCGGAGGTGATGTGGTGTCATCGAGGACGTGGGCATCATGGGCTGGCGTTATGGCAGCTGGATTTGGCATCATGTCATCGTTTGGACTTGTCAGCCTTTGTGGTGTAAAGTTTGTCAATATCGTCGGTGTAACACCATTTCTGATCATAGGTATGTTCGAATAGTTTGATAATAGAGTTATAGAATACAGACAAGAGATTAATGGTCAGATATATTTTATTTAAGTAGCCTTGCCACATTAGTCGCACTTTGAATCTCCCATGCTGTGAAACAAATCATTACTCACATCCTCTTGTTGTTGAAGGTATCGGTGTGGACGACATGTTCCTGTTGATGTCCAGCTGGGCGGAGACCTACCCTCACCAAGACAAGTCCGTCGCCAGTAGGATGGGAATGACCTTTGCCTCAGCGGGTATCGGTATCACCATCACGTCCCTCACTGATCTCCTGGCCTTCTTAACTGGCGTGTCTTCTGTGTTTCTCAGTGTGAGGAACTTCTGTGTATACACAGGTTAGTATGATGTACATTAGCCCCAAACCAGTTACACCTACCTGGTTCAATTAAGATGTCAATTACCATCTGTCTCTATACAGATTAGTGGTTTCCATAGAGTATGTTCAGATTAATGGACCTTTCTGAGCAGGTTATTTTCTCCCCTTCGGTGTGTGTTGTACATTCTTTGTGTTCAGGTTGATGGTGTGAAGTCGGAATCGTACCATGCATTCTTCTTTTAAAAGAGATTTCTTATCGTTATCAAAATGGTTTTCTTGCTTTCTGTTCATTTCATAATTTGACAAATTCTTAAATTCTCTGGGCCGCATTTTAGCAATCTTGCCAAAAGCGCAGGTTCTCTTCTCCCCTGTAGTCCATTCGTTTCACCCCGAAAACTAACATGGTGTTGATTTATATATTCTTCTCGTTCACAGGAGTGGCTGTCATCTTCTGCTACCTGTACCAGTGCCTCCTCTTCTCCCCCTGCCTTGCCCTCCATGGCCGTCGGGTTAACAGTAACAGACACTGCATGACCTGCCTCAAAACTAAATCCAGAGACGAACTCAGGAAAGATGGCGCCTCGACCTGCAGAGTGTACTGCTGTGGAGGCTCACCACCAACAGAGAGGGGTCAGGATGAACGATTCTTTGAGACACTGCCACGGAAGTACCTGCCACGAATGTTACTGAGTGTGTGGGGGAAGGTAATTGTGATTGTGCTATTCTTGGCCTACCTCGGAGTGTCAATATGGGGAACATTGAACTTCAAACAAGGTTTGATTCTGAAGAACCTGGTCTCCACAGATTCATACTATTATTCCTATAGTGAGATATATGATGCATACTTCTCAAGCTCTTTCCCTGTCCCGTTTGTATTTGGCCCAACCACAAATTACACAGACAAGAATACTGTAGATAATATCGAGTCTCTGATCAATAGTGCAAAAACAGACTCTGGAGTAGATGAGAATTCGTTGATTTGCTGGTTCGATTCTTATAAAGCAACAGCTGTTTATGATAACAGCAGCACCACAGCCTTTGTATCGGGATTGAAAACATTTTTTACTACAACCACAGTATTTGATAACGATGTGGTATTTGACTCAACTGATACTGATATCGAAGCTTCCCGATGTTATCTTTTATCAACAAATATTAAAGAATCCAACGCTCAAGCCGATGTTATGGTTCGAATGCGAGCTCTGGCAGACAACTCACCTCTCTCTGTCTACACCTTCCACCCAGCCTATATCTTCTTTGAGCAGTATGTTGCCATCCTACCCAATACACTACAAACTGTGGGCGTGGCACTGGTCGTCATGACTGTGGTCACCTGCATCTTCCTTCCTCATCCTCTTCTGGTTTTCCTTGTCGTCCTGAACATCGTTTCTATCCTCGTTGGCATCTTCGGGTTCCTTTACATCTGGGGACTGAGTCTCAGCTCAGTGACAATGATCCATCTCATCATGTCTGTCGGCTTCTCGGTGGACTTCAGCGTGCACGTGTGCTCTGCCTATATGATTGGAAAGGGAAGAAACAGGAGAGAGAAAACCGAATCTGCCATTGTCCATGCAGCTGGTCCCATATTAAACGGTGGACTGTCATCCTTTCTGGGCATTCTTGTGCTGGTGTTCTCAAAGTCCTACATCTTCAACTCCTTCTTCAAGATCATGTTCACAGTGATCCTGTTCGGCATGCTGCATGCTGTGTTCCTCCTCCCTGTTGTATTGTCCATCCTTGGCCCTGTAACCAAAACTTTCGTAAGTCCTGCAAGCTCACGTCCACCGTCACCTCCCCCAGATTACCCTCGTTGATATTCGAGTTCCTAACCTTGACTCAAGATATCATCGTTGTGTCATCTGGGCCATATTCCGATCTAACAGGCATGTAACCAACTCTTTCATAAGTCCTGCAAGCTCGCCTCCTAGTACGAAATCAGGTTATATAAGAACAAGATACGACACAATAGAATTGGACAGCTATGTAATGCAATGGGTAATGCTAAGAAATTTTGGAAAGAGGTTCGATCCATTAACATGAAAAACATCCCTGCTGGTAGCATTTCAAAAGCTGAATGGGCAATTCATTTTAAAGAAGTATTTTCAACAAATGACGTATTTGATCATACGCTTTTTGATGACATATTTGATCCTATAAATGAAGATGATTTCTTTTCTGAAATAGATCGGGAAATCCTTGAATCTGATATTCAACGTCATGAGGTACTGACAGCAATTCAGTCACTTAAAAAAACGTAAATCCCCGGGACTGGATAATATTCTTGCTGAAATGCTGCAATCATCAAGGGAGATAATTTTGCCCTATCTTACAGAATTGTTTAATATGATTTTTCGTTCAGGCGTATTTCCAAGTTCGTGGTCGAAGGGCATTGTTATACCTATTCATAAGAAAGGAGATGCTAGCAATGCAGATAATTATAGAGGTACAACATTAAACAGTATTTTGGGGAAAGTATTTTCGAGTATATTAAACAACAGACTAACGTTATGGGCCAATATGAGGGATAGAATTCCAGAATATCAGGCCGGGTTTAGAAAACACTATTCGACTCCAGATCATATTTTTACATTAAATGCAATTATAGGAAAATATTTGATGAAACGTGGGAGAAAACTGTATGTAGCTTTTGTTGATTTCCGGAAGGCTTTTGATTCTGTAAATCGTCATAAACTGTGGGTGTGCCTTAGGAGAGCTGGATTACGGGGCAAAATGTACCTGATTCTTAAAAGTATGTACTCTAATGTCAGGGCGTGTGTGCGTTGTAAAGGTGATTTCACTGACTTTTTTGATTGTCCGCTTGGCTTGAAACAAGGATGCGTATTAAGTCCCATTCTATTTTCATTCTTTATTAACGAATTGTGTATAGAAATATTGAATAGTGGCAAACACGGGGTCCAATTATGTCCGGATATTTTAGAATTGTTCTTATTATTGTTTGCTGATGATGTTATTCTTATATCACACTCAGTCTCGGGTCTTCAGAACCAATTAAACATTTTGACTGATTACACTGATGATTGGAAGTTAACTGTAAACTTAGAAAAGACAAACATAGTCGTTTTTAGAAGAGGTGGCCCATTAGCTTCAGTCGAAAAATGGTTATATAAGGGTTCGAGAGTTAAAGTTGTTAGCAAGTATAAATACCTAGGTGTTCTATTTTCTAACACTTTAAGTATGGGTAATCTTGTAAAGGATTTATCTGTAAGGGGTAAAAAAGCCATGGTCATGTTATTGTCAACTTTATCTAAACTCCAGCCTTTATCCCCAAGTATATTCTTTAAATTGTTTGACACACAGATACAACCAATACTTTTGTATGGCTCTGAATTATGGGGTTTTAAACATTTTAATACAATCGAAAAAAGGACATCTTCTTGCTTGTAAAATTTTTTTAATGACTGGAGTCAACTCCCCTAATAATATTGTTTACGGAGAGTGCGGTAGATATCCTCTGTACGTTAATTCATATATTCGTTGTATCAGATATTGGCTAAAAATACTTACTATGCACAAACAGCGACTGCTAAGGAAAGCTTACAATATGTTATACAACTATGATAATCTGGGTTACACAACTTGGGCATCAAATATTCGGGTACTTTTGTTCTCATATGGCTTTGGCTATGCTTGGATTTATCAAGGAGTTGGTAACACCTGTATGTTTGTAAATATGTTCAAAGAAAGAATTGTAAATACCTTTTATCAAACATGGATGTCTAATTTAAATGCAAGTAGCAGATAAGATGTGTATAGATCATTCAAATCCTTACTGGAGCCTGAAAAATATTTAAGTGTTCTTTGTAATTTAAATCTTCGTTCAACATTCACGCGTTTTCGTATGGGACTGAGTGATTTTAGAGTAAATACCGGAAGAAGACTAAATACGTTAAAATCTATGCGTTTGTGACCATTATGTGATATGGGTGTTGAGGACGAATTTCATGTACTTTTTATCTGTGAGTTTTACCAAGATATCCGAAAACGTTTTGTACCCGCTAAATACCTTAAACAGCAATGTACCACATCCCTTATATCACTTATGTCTAATCAATCTTCTGGTGTAATCTACAGTTTAGCTCAATTTCTCCATCAAGCACTCAATATTCGGCAAGAACTTGTAAATACAAATGTCTCCTAGAACGCACTTATATGTTGAAAGTATGCATACATTGTGTGTATTTGTATATAGGCCGGAGGCCTTTCATACAATAAACTTCTTGTCTTGTCTTGTCTAGACGACATATAACAAAGACCACTGGTAATACGCAACATTATTACATGTGTTCGTTTCAGAATTGAGAATTTTACAAAATTAAACACATACACAAAAATAAAAGACATACACCTAAATATGTCCTCCCTCTGAACACACAGATACCTAAACTAGAATATTTCTGTCAAATCCAATGAGATGTAAATCCACAATACTAGTATTTGAGAAAGAAATAACATGTATGTATTAACCTCAGCAATACAGAGAAAGAGTACATACTCTCTGTTCTGAAATATGTTACTGTTGGTGTGCTGTGGTTTGCAAATAATATGACATTTATACCAATTGGGTTTCTACTGTCCCAATATTCATTCAGATAGTATGGTCATCTACTTATGTGTGTTTAACTGTCTTAGTGTGCACATGTTATTTATCTATGTTGATTTCGTAGTACATCTGTCCATGTACATAAACCATATAATTATCCTGAAATAGGTTCACAGTTTGGTAACATGTGTAACAGGAAGAAGGTTTTTTGTTCATCTACCAGAGATGGACATTGTAAAAAAGTACCTGCCAAACTGTCATACACTACCACCAATTATTGATCTGGTGTCTGTATAACTACAACACTAGAACCATTGATCATTGATTATTTAATGCTATGTGGATGACTTTCTTTGTGATGTATTGCCTTCCCTACTGTGATATATGAATAAACCAGTCTCTTATCTTTGTTATATCATTCCATATATATCAATGCAATTTTAGATACCTGCGTACTACTTGTACAATGAAAGCAGTGTTGGGGTAACATAATCTTGAGGAATTAATCACAAACACTGGGACCTTTGCCGCCACACATGACTTTATCGCCTGTAATATGATAACTAGGCCGATTTCCTTGTCATGTGCCTTGCGTGAGAGGCGACGAGTATCCCTGCCTTTTCCTCTTAAGTTCTCTTATCAAGCACATGAACTTTTGGATCACTCGTAAGCTTGCATTAATCTTGTTGTTGTTGTTGTTGTTGTTGTTTATTCAGCAAGGTTACGTAGGCCATCGGCAGTTACAGCAGTTGTATAGCAGCCATTGTTGTAATTACAATTTACATCATTTTGTCCTTAGTAACATGGACTTATTAACAAACATATCCGAATTTCTTATGATATCAAGACGTTGGATTTTATGTAATGCGGGAAATACATAGAAGTTTCTTGGAATATACTGTTCATGCTATTAGGTATAGGCGACTCAATGAATCAAGTGGTCAGGTGTGGTGATTTAGGTGCATGCATGTTATCGTACTATATAATAACTGGTTTGTCTGCCCCAGATTTAATCACTAACAGACCGCAGTAATATACATAGAATATTGATAACTGACGTTAAACGAAAGTAATAGCTCTTTATTATCACAAAGGTGAGGTGAGGTGAAATTGTGTTTAACGTCGCGTCCAAGATTATTGCACATATATAGCGACGTGCATGCACGTGTGTGTGTGGCTGCTTGTACTAGTCTGGACTAATGCCGATTTACAGTGCTAGCACACTGAGATACCATGTCGCAGTTCAACATGAATACCCCACTCAGACACAGTATACTGACTCCGAGCCGACCAGTCCTTGTTTTAGCCCCTTAAAGCCGAGCGCCAGAAAGGGTAACAACAAGTACCATATTTTAACGTCTTTTGGTATGACGCGGCCAGGGTTCGAACCCCGGACCTTCCGCTGTCCGGGCGGACGCTCTACCACTAGACCACGGAGACGGTCTATTATCACAAAGGATAAAATTGCAAGATAACAGCTAACTAATCAAAATCGAGACGTACATACGGTTATTGTATAATTGACGATTCAACATAAATCCGGTGGAATCCTTTCGAAACCAACATAGGGTACTTATATTTTATACCAGCAAAATCTGCATTTCAGTGTTCAAAAGAATGTAAATACAAACTGAGCAGGCCATTTTTTATTAAAGCCTATAAACATCTGTAAACACATTTTGGTAGTGGGAAAAGATTAATGAGAGACATGACAATGCATTTCTTTGTCAATGAAGGACACGGAAGACCAAGTCGTCTACGGCGCCACAATAGCTGTGCAGAGTTGCGTAACTAGGGAACGCGAGAACTCTATAAATTCGAATGATAACATCGAAACCCCGTTAGCTTTGGGTCACGTTTTGGCTTGGTTTCCGTTGGTGATATGCGACACATTCTGTACAGTATACAGAGATATTTTGTTCGTGGGTGATCCTTGCCGTCTTCTTGTAATATGATCCATGTGGCTGGGCGTTTAGAGAGCCAATAAGATTTACAGGTGACCTATCTTTTGCCTGTCAGAAAGTCGGCAACTATTCCAGGTATTACCTCACTGGTGTCATGGCAGCATACCACAATCAATAGTCACATAATCAATGGTGTTATTCCATATAACTTTTTTTTATGATTTTCGATGTAATCAATTTCCAAGAACAAGGCAGTCAGTGGACGAATCAAAACCGGTTTTTCCTTGAAATGTGACACCAAAAAAATCAATACGAAGGCTATTTATGTCTATCGCGCGCCAGATTTTTCTGCATGATTTCTTCTCATTTGTTTTGTAGTGGTTTGTGTCACGACATTACCCAGTATGAGCGCACAATTCCTCGAAATGATTTTCACCAAGAAGCCAGCAGGCAATGTGAGCCACGGTGTGACCTTGTGATGTATGTGAAGTTGCGATCTTTGTAGATACATCTCAACATAAGTAAATACAACACTGCGTTCGCTTTGTATCTTGTTATTGTTATGGTACATTCCATTTTGTACATGCGATGCAGTCATTCTTGCAGTACCTCACCGGAGAGTATTTGGCACACGGCAGAGTCTACTTTAGAGGCTGTCAGAACATCAGAACACATAGCCATAGAGTTTACACTGCGTATTAGTCTTACTATTATTTACACATGATATGTCTATTTTATCACAGAGTTCACGTTACTATATAAGTAAGTACACATTGCTTGTTTGTTTGTTCTTTAACACCACACTCAGCAAGACTCTGTAAATAATCAAGTCTTGACCAGACAATCCTGTAATTGACATCATGACCATCCACCCACGCAGTTAGAATACGTTGACATGTTTCAACCAAGTAAGACGAGTCTAATCCCGTTAGTCGCCTCTTACGGCAAGCAGAGTCGCCTTTGACTGCAAGCATAGGTTGCAGAAGACCTATCCTACGCCGGATCTTCACCGGTATGCACACGTTGCTATCCGCGTAGGTACACGTTACTATCCACGTAGGTACACGTTACTATCCACATAGGTACACGTTACTATCCACGTAGGTACACGTTACTATCTCCATAGGTACACGTTACTATCCACATAGGTACACGTAACTATCCACATAGGTACACGTTACTATCCACATAGGTACACGTTACTATCCACGTAGGTACACATTACTATCCGCGTAGGTACACGTTACTATCCACATAGGCACACGTTACTATCCACGTAGGTACACGTTACTATCCACATAGGTACACGTTACTATCCACATAGGTACACGTTACTATCCACATAGGTACACATTACTATCCACGTAGGTACACGTTACTATCCACGTAGGTACACGTTACTATCCACATAGGTACACATTACTATCCACGTAGGTACACGTTACTATCCACGTAGGTACACGTTACTATCCACGTAGGTACACGTTACTATCCACATAGGTACACGTTACTATCCACGTAGGTACACATTACCATCCGCGTAGGTTCATGTTGCTATTACTACTGAGGTAGAAGTAGTTCTTTTCACTCTGGCGTAATAATTCTTGTGATTGCGTTCCATCTTCTTCGCTGTCATGTCAAAAGGTCGTCTCGTGAGCAATTTGAAAATAAGAATTCTTTTATATGCTTGTTGACTGGTTACAGATATATTGAATATTAACACAAATGATACTAGAATAGAGAGCGATTATTGAACATCATATTATTTTTAACAGAATGACAATAAAATATTTAGTAAGGTCACGAAGCTGTATGCCAGACAGTAGAAGATATACTTACATTAATATATTCCTAAACGTTGTTCATGGGTGGCCAGCACAAGGTTGTTGGGGGGCACGGGTGGCCCAGTCGTCTAAGGCGCCGTGATTCGCTGTGCAGAGTTGCGTCCCTTGGGCATGCCAGAAACCTATGATTGTTGGTTCGAATCCCGGTTCGCCCTGATTATGTTTCCAGGTTTGTCAGCACCATACCCGTGCTCGTGGGTTTCACCGAAGTGGTAAACGTCTGAGACGTGCATCACTTCGGGCTTTCCTCCCACATTAAGCTGACACGCCGCGATATAACTGGAATAATGTTAAAAGCGGCGTTAACCCCAACTCACTCACTCACTCACTCACTCACTCACTCACTCACTCACTCACAAGGTTGTTGGTGTATCCACCATCTTTGGTGCAAGCATCTTCACTTAGCTTTGACAATCATAGTAAGCAACGTAGTTCATACACCGCGAATATTGCAAGAGCAGTTATATGTCTGCTAGACAACTATTTCTTTTCAGTGGACATAAATATACCGTATTCGACGTAATAAGCGCCCACGGCGATATTTGCTATTGGCTAGTGAACAATCCCAATTAGCACCCCTTCCGATTGATCATTGTACACAAGACTTATTTATTCGCGTATAATACGCACTCGTGTGTTATATGCACCCTTAATTATGGGCAATTAAATTCTGGAAAAAATATCTGTCATGTATGATACGCACATACTTTTCTTTTGTATCATTTCAGGCTGTCAGCCTAAATTACGAAATTTACAATCTTTCAACTCTGTTTTTTCTCACCATAATTATATTCTAATAAGAGTCCCCTATTTCTAATTTTGAGAGCGCCCCGGGCGCTTATTACGTCGAATACGGTAAGTAATATTTACATAACAACTGCACAATTTACACGATTAACTGATCTATCAAGAAGAGAATTCACATTACATTATACCCGGACGTGACGTGACGGACGTGATTCAATGCCAACGTCCAAAAGATAGTGCTTATCACCTGGAGTCGTCATTGCCAGTTTCATCTGAGTGTTAATATTGATGCAGGTTTTCATTCACTTACTTTGCAAAGATTTCATTACTTTGTGAATTTTAACTAGTTTCAAACATAAACGTAAATAGATCTGGAATGCAGCAAAATGAATGACAAAGTGCTAGTGCGCCTAGGGCGGATCCCTATTTTTAAAAGGGAGGGGTCCAAAATATGAAAATTCTCGGAGTCATTTTTACTGCCTTCTTACAAATCACATTTTGTGTGTGTTCGGATAGTAAAGTCCGATAGGGTTGTGCAACAGGATAGACTCGTCACTGCTTCTTTATCATTAACATGATCTTTTTCGTGTGTCTCTTTAAAGGATGATGATCATGGAATAATGTTGAACAAGGACTGATGATATGGTCCTCAATTCTTCTGATATATAACCAGTGGAGGTTTCAAACCAGTAGTATTTTGATAGTTGTATACGGGTAACTAGTGTAATGAGACATTTTCTTCGGCTACAATCTGGTATTCTAGTTTAATAAAATTGTCAGTCGAACCCAGTTCGCTGAAACAGACAAAATCATAACTGTCAACGAAAAGAAAAATGAGTGAGCAGGTTTGTTACAATCGTCGTGAGACCCGTGAAGATCCGGGGTAGAATAGGTCTTCAGCAACCCATGCTTGC